ACTGAAAGGTCAATTTGAACAACAAGGTAGGTGGTTCAAATTCACCAGCCACTCATAGGACACCCTATACAGGGTTGCTGTAAGTCGGAACCTACTAGATAGCACTTAACAACAACATAAATCTGTATCACACAATGTTTTTTGCTACAATAAAAAGAACCACCAATGTTCATAATTTTGAAATATCTAAGAAACTACTAAGAAGTACAACTCATGAAAGATAAATCAATAGATAAATACATTGTATTGTGACCAAGGCTGAGACAGAATGCTCAGAGAGGATGCATCTAATTCAAAAGAGGCCACTAGAGGGGCGTAAACAAAATTTTTTCCAGTCTTTTTCCTTTTCTCACTTTTAAATTTTATTCCTTACTGTAACATAGCATCACCTCTGAAATAAAAATCCAGACATCCTACTCTGAATACAACTTTCCCTTGTTCCAGGTTTCCCATTCAGTTTTATCTACTACAGGAATCCCTTAGAGATACTGAGGTTCAGTTCCAGACTATAACAATAAAGCAAATATATAATAAACTGAGTAACACAATTTTTTTATGTCCCAGTGCATATAAAAGTTATGTTTACACTATACTGTATTATATTAAGTGTGCTATAGCATCAAGAAGTTGGAAATATTTTGAGAAATAATCAAAATGTGACAATCATGAAGTGAGCACATGCTATTGGAAGAATGTTGCCAATAGACTTGCTCAACACAGGGTGGCCACAAACCTTCACTGTATAAAAAACCATTCATCTGTGAAGCACCATAAAGTGAAACGCAAAACAGCAAGGTATGACTACGTCTCTTCCTAATCTTCACTGAGGTTTGCTAGGCACCAAAGCCAATCATTCTTATGTCCTCTTTATTCCCCACTTTAATTAGACTCTAGAGTGACCAGCTATTGGTTTTTCCTCTTTAAACTTTAGTGCTCTTTCTTCTACTAACAAAATTTTGATCTTGTATTTGGGAATCATTCCCTCCCTAATTCAGATTTCCAGATACATCATTTGTGTAATCAATCTGTTCTAATCTAGAATCAATATCTAACCTAGATTCCATAGCCTATTACTCTGATGACATTTGTCAATGCTATCAACTCTCTTCTTATTTTATTATATTTTTCAGGTAAAATATTATTCATGATCAATCCAGCTACCTGTCTATTTTGGATATATAACCAATTGAGAGAGTAATAATATGTTAAACCAAACTGGTATCACTGTTAAGCATAGCTTACAATCTCAATGGGGCCTTCAAATCTGCCTGAAAAGTTAAGTTTTACTTAGCCACTCAGCCGTCTCTCTTGTTCTTTTGAGATTCTTAACTTTTCCCACTTCAGAAATCTCATTCTGTCGTATCATTATCAGAAAGCCTTAACTCCAGGTAAGAGTTTCTTTAATTGCTTATACCCTAAGCTATAAAATTAAAGGTGCTCTAATGGCACTGTAGGATAAACACTGGACTGCTAACTGGTTGGCAGTTCAAACTCACCTGTCACTCTACAGGAGGAAGATTAATCTTTCTGTTCCTGTAAAGACTGGAAACCCTATACAGGGCTGCTATGAGTTGGAACTGACTTGATGGTAGTATTTGTAAACCTACAAAATCAACAACATATTTGTCAACCCATTCCTTTTTCATTTGTTACCATGTAAGGGGCAGTTTTCCTGCCAAGGGCTAATCTTAATCTCTTCACTTGTGCTCTTAGTCCAGCCTCATCCCATCTTCCCATGAATTCTGTTTTATTTATTGTCAGCCTTTCTATCTCTAGCTCTCTTTCTTGTGGTTTCATCTTATTAACAATTAAATAGTCAAAAGGCAATAATCTATTTGAAGGAACATTTCTCCAAAGAAATGGCTAATAAGCACAGAAAAATGCTCAACATTACTAACCATTAACCCACTGCCTTCGAGTCAATTCCTATACCTATAGGACAGGGTAGAACTGCTCTTTAGGGTTTCTAAGACTGTCAATCTTTATGGGAGCAGGCAGCCTCATCTTTCTCCCACAGAGCAGTTGATAAGCTTGAACCACTTAACTTGTAGTTAACAGCCCAGTGCTTAACCCACTGCACCACCAAGATTTATAGTCACCTATGGTTGCCAAGAGCTGGAAGGACAGGAGAATGAGAAGTAACTGGTTAATACACATGTGCTATCTTTCCTGAGATGAAAAAAAGTTCTGGAACTAAACAGTGACAATATACTACATTGTGAATGTACGAAAGGTCACTAATGGTAGATTTTGCTTTACCCCACCCCCTACATACACAAACTCAAAGTGGGTAGCACCTAAATAGATTCCTAAAAAAAACACAAATGGCAAATCTGTTATATATGCCTGAGTGTTTAACAACAACAACAACAACAAAAAAGCTAGAGTGAATAGAGAGAAACACTGGTAACTGATGGTACATGGAGGGAAGTATCATCATTGTAATGAAACAAAGTATATGATTTGTTGAATGTAAAACTGATAATCTGCCCTGTAAACTTCTACTCAATCCACAATAAAAACCTTGAAAAAAACCACAAACAATAAGAACACTATCACCTTATAGAAGACCTTCTTCAATTCCATAAACCTATCCAACTACCTATCCCCTAGCTCTCCTGGGTCCAATCAATCACCAAGCCTACTGAGTCAAGCTCTGATCATTTCAAATCTATTTCTCTCCATCCTGACCATCATAACCTAATTCAGGTTCCCATCATTCTTCACTGGATTAAGGCCTCTTAACTGGTCTCCTTTTCTCTAGCCTTGTTTTCCTTCAATCCATTCTTCTGTCAACAGATCTCAAATACAGACCTCACTGTATCTTTTTTAAATCACCACACTGGTTTCCAGAATGTCAATCCTTTTAACAAAACTGCACAAGATCCTAATGATCTGACAGCTATG